TTGTTATATGTGTGTGTGTGTGTGTGTGTGTGTATACACACACACACACACACACACAACTTTTTTTATCCAATCATCTGTCGATGGACATTTCGGTTGCCACCATGTCTTGGCTATTGTAAATAGTGCTGCTGTGAACTTTGGGGTGTATATATCTTTCCAAATTAGAGTTTTCTTTGGATATATACCTAAGAGTGGGATTGCTGGATCATATGATAAGTCTATTTTTATTTTTTTAAGGAACCTCCATACTGTTCTCCATAGTGGCTGCACCAATTTACATTCCCACTAACAATGTAGGAGGGTTCCCTTTTCTCCATACCCTCTCCAGTACTTATTATTTGTGGACTTTTTAATGATGGCCATTATGACTGGTGTGAGGTGATATCTCATTGTAGCTTTGGTTTGTATTTCTCTGATAATTAGCAAGATTGAGTGTCTTTTCATGTGCTTATTGGTCATCTGTATGCCTTCATTAGAGAAATGTCTGTTTAGGTTTTCTGCGCATTTTTTTGATTGGGTTGCTTGTTCTTTGTTATTGAGTATATGAGCTGTTTGTATTTTGGAAGTTAAACCCTTGTCAGTCATATCATTTTCAAATATCTTCTTCCAATCTGTAAGTTGTCTTTTTGTTTTGTTTATGGTTTCCTTTGCTGTGGAAAAGCTTTTAAGTTTAATTAGGCCCCATTTGTATATTTTTGGTTTGTTTCTATCGCCTTGGTAGACTGACCTAAGAAAACATTGCTAAGATTTGTGTCAGAGAATTTTTTGCCTGTGTTTTCTTCTAGGAGATTTATGTGTGTCTTGTCTTGTTTAAGTCTTTAAGCCATTTTGAGTTAATTTTTTGTGTATGGTGTGAGAGAGTTATCTAAATTCATTGATTTATATGAGGCTGTCTAGCTTTCCCAATACCACTTTCCAAAGAGACTGTCTTTTCTCCATTGTGTATTCTTGCCTCCTTTGTCGAAGGTCAATTGACTATAGGTGTGTGGGTTTATTTCTGGGCTCTCATTCTGTTCCATTGACCCATATGTCTGTTTTTGTGCCAATTCCATTCTTTTAATTACTGTAGCTTTGTAGTATTGTCTGAAATCTAGGAGGGGTATGCCTCCAGCTTCATTCTTTTTATTCAGAATTGTTTTGGCAATTCTGGGTCTTTGAGGATTCCATATAAATTGTAGGATTATTTGTTCTATTTCTATGAAAAATGTCCTGGGTAATTTGACAGAGATCACATTAAATCTGTAGATTGCTTTGGGTAGTATGACAATTTTAACAATACTAATTATTCCAATTCAAGAACATGGGATATCTTTCTATTTCTTTAAATCATCTTTAATTTCCTTTATCACTGTTTTATAGTTCTCCACATGTAAGTCTTTTACCTCCTTGGTCAGGTTTATTCCTAAGTATTTTTTAATGTGATTTTTAAAAGGATTGGTTTTTTACTTTTCTTTTCTGGTATTTCATTGTTAGTTTAAAGAAATGCAACAGATTTCTGTATGTTAATCTTATAACCTGCTACCTTCCTGAATTTGTTTATCAGCTCTGGTAATTTTTGTGTAGAGTCTTTAGGGTTTTCTATGTATAGTATCATGTCATCTGCATTTAGTGACAATTTACCTCTTCTCTTCCAATTTGGTTCCTTTCTATTTCTTTTTCTTGTCTGACTTCTATGGCTAGACTGCTAATACTATGTTAAATAGAAGTGATGAGAATGGGCATCCTAGTCTTGTTTCAGATTTTAGTGGGAGGGCTTTCAACTTTTCATCATTGAGTATTATATTGGCTGTGGGTTTGTCATAAATAGCTTTTATTATGTTACAATATATTCCCTGTATACCTACTTTGGTAAGATTCTTTTATCATGAATGGATGTTGAATTTTATTAAATGCTTTTCCTGCATCTACTGAGATGATCATGTGATTTTTGTCCTTTCTTTTGTTGATGTGATGTCATATTGATTTGCATATGTTGAACTATCCTTGTGACCCTGGGGCAAATCTGACTTGATCATAGTGTATGATATTTTTCGTGTGTTGTTAGATTTGATTTGCTAATATTTAGTTGAGAATTTTTGCATTTATATACATCAAAGATGTTGGGCTGTAATTTTTCTTTTTTGGTAGTGTCTTTGGTTTTGGTATCAGGGTGATGGTGGCTTCACAGAATGAACTTGGGAGTGTTCTCTCCTCCTCAATCTTTCGGAAGAGTTTGAGAAAGATTGGTATAAGTTCTTCTTTATATGTTTGGTAGAATTTGCCAGTGAAGCCATTCAGCCCTGAACTTTTGTTTGCCAGATGGAAAGTTGCTTTTAGTTGAAGAATCCTGTAGCACAATCACTTTAATTGTGTTTACTTATTTGGATACCACTTTGAACTGCTTACTTTTCAATCTCTTTTTTGACATCCTGCAGACATGAATGTTGAGACATTAGGGATATCCAAGACTTCATCCTTACCATGGGCCTTGAAGTACTTTTGGTAAATTTCATGGATAAAAGACAGCTATTACTCTTCAACTAGAAATGTAGAATCTCATTATGGGAGGGAGTCTTCATGATCTAGAGTCCAGTCACACATTTGAAGCTTAAATTTGCTCCAGTACTTCCCAGTCAAATGACATTTAGCCCTTTGGAGTATCCTTAGATTGCACTGACTATTAAAAAGTTCTTCCTTATCTTAACCCCCATAGCTTCCACCCTTGGCTCCAAATTCTGTTGGGGACATAAAAAGTGCCTCTGCTCAAACTTACAATGCTGCAGACTTGCTGAGGGCAGGAAATGAATCCACTACAGCTTCCAGTAACTTGATGTATGATTACTGAATGGAGTTCAAAGCAGATGTTGTTCTTTATTTTGATATATATCTTACAGAAGAGCAGATTGCCAATATATTTCAGTTCTATTGAGAAAGTACCACATAAAATAACTGATTTTAATATCGAAATGCTATAGCTGATATATTTTATGCTTTCAATTTTATAATTTGAGTGATTTTTATCTGTCATATGTTGTAGTTTCCCTTTATTATAAAATAACATATTTAATGGCACTACAGATATTAACTAGTAGACATCACATGTGCAGCACAGACTGTCTGAGACACAACACACAAGAGGAGATGAAACTCCACAGAAGTAGGCATTAGACGCTCTGGGTTCCAGCACCAGCCCCCCCACCAACATCCACGTGACCGTGGTTCTTGTTTCCTATTCTGCAAGCTGCGAGGGTTGAACTAAATGTTCTCTTAAAGTTCTTTCCAGCTTCACAAACAATTTACATTTTAGACTTGTTTGTCCCTGCAGTAGAATATCTACAAAGACAGTTAAAGAACACAGACCTCTGGTTTCCAGTTGAGTTCTCAGTGTATATTTCCAATAACTATCCATATGTACACAGTTTAAAGCGAGGGCTGCCTTTTTCCCCCCTTTTTCTCGTTTCAGAACACTTTGCTTCAGGAAACAGTGCGTAGAGAGTGTGAAGAACGCTTTGAACTGACAGAGGCCTTGAGTCAAGCCAGAGAACAGCTCCTGGAGCTCAGGAAGCTCGGGGGACAGTTACCGCTGTCACCGTGCTCCCTCAGCCAGGGCAGCCTAACCTCCTCTGCCGCAGCCAGCGGCAGTCAGGGAGAGAGAAGGCTTGCAAGACTGAACTCAGAAAAGGGAATCAGATCCCCAGCCTGCGTGGAGTGTCAAAACCTACTGCTTCCCCAGCCTCAGCTCAGCCCAGCAGGGTCAGCAACTCAGGTTTGCCCACTCTTCCCCAGCCACATCCTCCCCGGGGGCGACCGTCTTCAGTCAGTGAGACCAGACAGAGACTGGCTGCCATTCTGTGGAAGAGACTGAGTCAGCAGTGATGGATCCAAAGTCAGGAGTGGCTGCACACAGCATGTCTGTCTTTTCCAGAAGGCAGAGACTCACTGTAACTGAGGATGATAAAGATCAAATTATTAGTGCAGATCACGAATGCATATTGACAGATATTTTTAACAAGATAATTGGAAAAGCTAGAAAATTGTGGTCACATTTTCCAAGAGGCCTTTGAAACTACAGCAGATGATGAAGTTGTTGGTATTCCAGAGGGCCAATTTCTATATTTATGTATTGTGTATTTAGATGTATTCTATGAATATGCCCTTTTAGAGATCATTGGTAAAAATGTTCATCCATAGCATTTTTCTTTTATTTTTTTTGCACCATTACAAGCAGATATATTTCCACAAAAAAATAGATCATATAGGTTTTGTTGGTGTTTGTTCATTTGTTTGTTGAGCTGAGTAGTTTAAATAGATGTAATTAGTATTCCGAATAGAAAATGAAAGTACGTTAGTCCTTAATTTGATAATTTTCAAAGTGCTTATTCAAATATTTGCAGAGTTCTTCATCATCATTATCCAAAGTTTCTCTTTGTCACCTCATAATGTAATTAGTTAATCTAATTTCTTTTTAAGTTAGGTCAGAAGTAATGATAGGTAATCTTCAGGAAGACAGTCTGGGGACCTTCTAGGAAAAGAGACAGCAACTCCAAGGAAAAGGTGGTTTACTTTTTGGTCATGAAAATATCACTTGGTAGAGATTTTATACATCGAATGCTTTTTGGTACTCAGAGTCAGGTTTTGGTTTGAACTAGTATTATTCTTAAGTCATTGTGTAGAAAACTAATTTGAGACAGTTTAGTAGAGGCACAGTGCTACTTTGGGATTCAAATGTTATTACCCCTGAAAATGGGCAACTGTTTAACATGTTTTCTGTTTTCAGAGTGAAAAATTAAAACCAGAAACTAGACAGGCTATTTTATGTAATCTTAAAGCTTCGGGCTCCTCCTGTTTCTTAAAACACAACTCTTTACCTTAGGCTAGTGTTCATCTATCCTTTTCTCCATCTAATAGAAGTGTACTTTTCTTCCATGACTGATTTTACACAAATCCTTCATCTGACTGTATTGTGGACATCCAGGCTTCTTACTCCCAGATTAGAATGAAGGTAACACATGTGAAAAGTGGCACATAAAACTCTTCTATTTGGCTACCACACTGAGGAGAGAATCCAAATGTACTTGGAATCCCTCCTGTGTGCAAAAACAAGTAAACCTACTGAGCAAAATCAAGTTTATCTCCAATCTTTCAAAAGACTGATGTAATCTACCAGTAGGGTGTTTTAATCTCAAAACATTCCACATTAGGTCTGCTAATTTCCCTGACTAGTTTAAGTGAGCACATCTAGTGTTAAGGTTTATAATGCACCTTATAATGGCATTTGACAAGGGACTATAACATCACATAATGGTGGTGGTGCAGTGGACCATAGAGGTCACTCAAACAATCTCCTCCCCTCCTATTTTTTTTTTTTAGCCAGTTTGTGTTTTATTGGCTCCTGGATGCTGCGGCCTTAACCAGTACTCCCGTGATGTGTCTCACGCGGTGGGTCCAGCCGCTCCTTCCACTGCTTCTGCTGCTTCTTCGGGTTGTCTTCATGCTTGTTGAGCCCATGGTTCATACACGCGTTTTCTTGGGCAACACACCGACCAGGGGCTTGTACTTCTAGACTTTACAGAATTTCCTCCGGCTTTCTTCCTGAGTCTGGTTAATGACAATGAGAACATAGGTGATGAACTTACTAACAACTGGGATCTTGGAGAGTTTGGAAGCTGCACCACCTGTCGCTTTAGGACATGCAGCTGGGACAGCGCCACCTTCAGGACCTCCAGTTGTTTCAGCAGCTCCTCCACCTCCTTGTCACGAATGTCTCCAGCCTTAATCTGGCCATGGCCAGAAGCTGCCACTAACGCCTTCTTGAAGGGAAAGAGCAATTTGTAAACAGTAATCTCTTTACAAATTAAGAATAGACGCCCAAAGAGTTCTGGCTTGGCTAAGATGGTACAGCTAGTTAGTGGCTGAGTTCAAACCAGAACCACTATTACCTGATCCCAACCTTTCCACTTCACTATTCCACTCACCAGAGTCACAGACCTCTACCATGACTTTTGTCAGAAGCACCTACGCTGTGTTTACCTAATATTTTTAAATGCCCTCATTTTTTAAAACTTAAATTTATATAAAAAGGAAATTTGACCCAAGGAAGAATAATTATAAAGTAATGAGTTCAATATGCCAGTCATATTTTTTCTAATATACTTTAAGATAAATGTGTATCTATTAAAATGTAAAATGTTGCTGGTCTACCCCCTAAAACCATGTTGTATGATTCTAGCAGCACTCGTGCCACACTCTGGAGACCACTCCACTAGGCCTCATGCTTCTCATCTGGTGTTTGCATGTTCCAGTTACAAATATTCATGACATAAGGTGATGGCAAAAGCTGGTGGAAGGTTTAGTAAAAGCATAAGAGAATATTTTGGGTGACAGTTTTTGTTATATTATACACGCTTTCCCGCAATCTTTCCATTTCAGCTCTCTCTTCAAGAGCCATGGGAATACATCTTTTCTAAATTATGAACATATTTAAATTTGTAAAGACAGCCACCCATAAGCTTTTCTAAAGTGATGTAAGGACCATCAGTGCAAAACCTGGTTTCTCAGCTTGTTACACTCTTGCTTTACAATGAGTAATTCTGTAAATAATCACTCTGAGAATAGAATCCTAATCTGCAGCAAAGCTGCGCTGTTGTCCACAAGTATGTCAGAGAGTGATTCCATGGATAAACAGAGAGACAATATTTACATTTATTTCAACCTAGACAGTTTAAAGCAGTTCAAGCTGTGTACTTACATCTTTTGAAGAAAGGCACTTAAAGAAAAGAGAATAGCATTAGACTATGTAACCTGAGAGTTAAGAACACATTCAAACTTTCCTAAATTTCTCACTGATACATTAACTTCTGGCATGAAACAGTATCAGGAATGTTAAAAAAAAAAGAGTGGATATTATGACAAAATAGGGTTCTCAAATACATATAATGGATATTAAGTCTAATAGTTTTAATTTCTCTATAGACATACATTTTCCATGACCTCAGTGGAAGGATTCATAGGTATCCAAAGAAAATAATATCATAAAAAATATTCCTTAGAAAATTATAATCCTATTTGTTTTTTTTCTTAAACTAGGATTGTTAGATGAAATGGGAGAATTCTTCTATAGCTAACACAGATTTATCAAGAAATTTTTTAAAGTCCATTGAATTAAATTATTATATTTATACTTAGAACTACTTAAAGGTCATATTTTCTGGCAATGGAATTGACTGGAAGAGACATTAATATTAAAAATTGCATAAGATTAAGATCTTTTTGTATAGAAGTATAGTCAGTTTACAATGTATCAGTTTCTGGTGTACAGCATGATGCTTCAGTCATACATGAACATACATACATTCGTTTTCATATTCTTTTTCACCATAACTCACTACAAGATATTGAATGTAATCCCCTGTGCTATACAGTAGGAACTTGTTTATCTATTTTATATATACTTGTATGTGCAAATCTTGAACTCCCAGTTTATCTCTTCCTACCCCCAACCCCGCCGGTAACCATAAGTTCATTTACTATGTTTTTGTTTTGTAAATAAGTTCTTTTTTTTTTTTAGATTCCACATATAAGTGATATTATATGGTATTTTTCTTTCTCTTTCTGGCTTACTTCACTTAGAATGACAGTCTCCAGGTCCATCCGTGTTGCTTCAAATGGCAGATTTTATGGCTGAGTAGTATTCCATTGTACAAACATACCACAACTTCATTATCCAGTTATCTGTCGATGGACATTTAGGTTGTTTCTATGTCCTGGCTATTGTAAATAGTGCTGCTATGAACATTGGAATGCATGTATCTTTTTGAATTAAGGTTCCCTCTGGATATATGCCCAGGAGTGGGATTGCTGGACCATATGGTGAGTCTATTTTTAAGACTAAGATCTTTTATTGTTCTATTAGTCTAAATAGTTTTGTATTACAAATCAGTTATAGCTAATTTCTTTTTCTTTGATTATGCAACAAGTTTTCTCAAGCTTCATCTTTTAATGTTCTTACAATAGTTACAATATTACTAATAGAACAACCTAGTATCCTAAAAGGGTTAATACACTGCAGCTGAAAATTCCTAACCATCATGTTGAACCTTATAGAGCACAGGAAATCAATTTGGTATGTGCCCAAATTTCACAAATCCTATAGTAATTATGGGTTTTTTTATGTTTTAAGAAAATAGTTAATGTACACTGTGTCTTGCACAGGATACCTTTAATGGTCCCCAAACCATCATAGACAATAAAGAGAGTGTTCCTAAGACAATGTCTATGGTGTCTGAGGGAAAAAATCCTACTTCTCCTTTTGAAAATATTTACCATGTAGTAATAAATTGTGATGCCAATGCAATTATGTTGTATCTTTAGAATCTGAAATATAAATTATATCATCTTTGTATATTCTGAATTAACAGATAAAATTTTGTAACACAGTGGTTGAATCTGAAACACATTTATCCTATAACAATATTTACCATGATCCAGAAAGTCAAAAGTTTTCTCTCTTCTCTAGCATTTATATAGAATACTGTTTTATATCCATTAAGTGAGTAAAAAAATGTACTAAAAATCCTTTACCCTCCATATATAGATAGATAGTATTCTTATGTATCTTATATCTTATATATATGTATATAAGAATACCAGGTCACAGAGACTAAGTAATTTGCCCAAAATAAACACTAGATAAGACTAATGAATAATTTTAAACTTCTGCAGTTTCTGAGCATCTTGACCAATAGATTAATACTTAGGCTATATTTTATATTCATTCATTTCTTCAACAGATATGGAGAATTTAAAAGGCACTGTGAGAGTTACAGAGATAATTAAGATGTATTACAGATGCCCAAGAACTGTATAATAGAGGCAGTGAGGAAGCATGTACAGAATTTTACAATATAAGGCAGTAGGTGTTGAGAAGAGAATCAAAAGTCTTCTTGGTGAAAGAATCAGGGAACGCTTAAGCAAGAATTGGAATTTCCAGTCAGTCTTGAAGAATGGAATAAGGCTTTATAGAAGAAGGTATACCAGGTAGAGGAAATGTATAAACAGAGTCATAGATACATAGAAAATACCTGATGAAGGGAAGCTTTGGGAACCTGAATAAGGTAGGTTGAGCCCAGAGCGTGACGGTGTTGAGTATGAGCTGGTCGTGGGAGTCTGATTAGAAGTGGCACGTGCTTTGACGATGTTTGGGAACTTCGCCTTGGCAGGGCTGTATTGGAATAATTACAGACTGGAGAGGCTGGAGGTGGATCACCAGTTGGTAGACTGGTAAAGTAGCCCAGACAGGAGTTTTGAATAATGATGTTGATGGTGGGACTGAACAGGAAGCAGCTGACTCAGATTCCTTTCAGAGAAGGGAAAGAAACCATTACCAGCCATTGCCACTTAGCAGGGGTGCAGTGTATGAAATGGGCTCCAATTAAAGGACCACCCTTTATTTAAGAATATTACAGCTTCTCTGAAAAATGTGAAATAATAGGAACCACATTTTCATTTGGACAACAGATAACTAACCCACAGGCCCGGTATTCATAAGAATTCTCCCTAAAGCAAAATGTACATCTAAAGAGTGTTCTAAGAATTATGAAGGAAGAATGAGGAAACTGACATAAAAAATAGGTATCATCTTGGCTCAGAGTACAAAGCACAACTCAATAGTGACCTTTGGGAGTGATACAATGCAATAAAACTTTCCAGTTTCTGCTAACCATTTGTGAGGGAAAACACAGAAGCTAGCTGCCAAAATAAAAATAAGGATTATCTTTTAAATCCTTAAATTTTGTAGTTCTGAAGAGGCCTGACACATCACCTGGCCCAGGCCTGTGACTTTACACAAGGAAATGATAGGTCCCTTAGAGGCTGAATCATTTTCCGTTCTTATGGCTGCTTAACAGCTGACTTGATGAGAGAGTCTGGGCCATCAACTCTTGGGCACACAGCTCATTTCTAGACTGGAAGAATGGTATCAGTGCTCTAAATGTTTGTTACTCAAAGTGCTCCAGCAGGATTAATGTCTCCTGGGAGCTTATTAGAAATGCAGAATGTTAGGCCTCACACCCAGACCTGCTGAATGGAATCTGATTTTAATGAGATCCTCTGATGATTTGTGTACATGTTAAAGTATGAGATCACTGTTCACAGTGGTGCCGCTGCCCGCAGCATATTCCACCTCTAAGAGCTATGCGTTAGTGTTGGATGGAAATAGCCTTGACATCCTCGGTTCCCTTCTGCCTGATCTGAAACCAGTGGTGCTCTGAGACCACCGCCACCCCCACCAATGTTGACCCATTCAACACCTTAGCTTCCACTGGTCTCCATTTCTACTTCTTTGCCTATTGATTATGAATCTGAGCTCTCCAGGAAAACTTGTGAATTAAAGAAAATCAATATTCAGCCAATATTCATAAATATCACCCAAGTTTCTAGGCTTGCAAAGAACTGGAGGTTTGCTATTTTTTAAAAAAGTCAATAGAAATACTTTCATTTTGATTACTAGTGAGTCACTGAATAATCTTACATTTTAATTTCAAAACAACATGTATATTTGGATCTCTGATTCCCAAAAGAAAATTTGGTAATGCTGGTTGTCTTTCGGGGCTTGTGAAACATAGAATACTTAGATAACTTAGTAGAATTATGAAGTAAATTTTTCCCCCTTGAAAGTAGTTCCTAATCAGATTACTTAAATATAAAACAGTAACTTGCAGTATTACATACACCTAGATCAATTTATTTTAAAGGTAGAACTAACAGCAGCTGAATATAATTTGATCCAGATTCTCAATTTCAAAATCTGTATTTAACAAATAAGGCATTATACTCACTTGCCTGTGAGCCTTAAGTCAGCTCATTTTATTACACCACTGCATTCTTTAAACTTTCAAATTCAGAAAATAATGGAAGGGATTGACTTCATCTGCCATTAAAAGTCTTTGAATACTTTTTATTAACATTCTAATATTTAACTTGTATGATTATTTGTTATAACTATTAATAATTCTCATAAATAATAATAATTTAAACCCAAGAATTCAACAGACATAAAATATAAAATATTGAAACATTTCTGTCATCTTAAAGTGAATGAGTTCTATAGTTGTAGTTTTCTATCTGGAACTTTAGATTTCTAGGGAATAAAGATTACTGCCAAGATTCAAGTGCCTTGAGCCCAGATTACAGAAGAGGAAACTTCTGAGTGCAGTATCAGTGGGTCCTTGTGGTTCTCTGTGACCATGTCCCCATGGAACTCTTGGGACATTTTTAACCAGAGGGACCCCAGAACTGACCAAACCCATCCACCTAATGCAATGTAAGGCAGACCTGCAGTCACCAAGAAGAAAGTTCTCCTTCAAAACCCAGCAGGCAGCAGTAGGAGAAGCAGTGAAGAGGAATGGGTGACACAAAGATCAAGTTTGGGGTCAGGGAGGGCTTAAATTCTTTGTAACTACATAGTTGAAACTCTGAGCCAGTCATTATTAATGTCGCCAAACTCTTGATATCTCCATTGCTTTAACTTGGGGAAGAGAGATTATCCTTGTTTTTATCATTTGTGCCCTGAATGTAGTAGGAAAGATGGCCCTACGTGATGGAAAGAGATCTTTTTCCATGTTTTGATTTTATTATTTATGACTCAAATACAGTCATACAACCAATATGAAAGTTTGTTTTGCTTATGTATTAAAGGCCCTTGAAAATGTTGGTCAAGCCACCTGTAATTTGATACTTTTCATTGGTAATGATGTATTTCAGTAGCATGGGGTAGAATCTATATTGCCATTCCTACTTTAGTTAGTGGTGTCCCAAATGTTTCTAATATTGACTTCATAAGTGCACTCTTTAATTATCAGTGGCCCCCAGATACCTGGAATTTCTGCAACCATCCC